GTTCTGGCCACACCACCCCTCTCTTGACTGATAAAGTAACTGCCAGCTGCTTCCTGCAGCAAGTGCCCTGCACCGCTTAGTCTCCCCGCTATCTGGCGAGTTGAACTCTCTGTTCCTTTGCATTCCCAGCCTTTCCTCCAGCAAGCAATTTTCCCCTTGGGGATTTTCATGCTTCCTACATTGTTGTCATGCCTTCTGCAGGGTGTTCAACTGGTGGCCTGTGGGCTGCATCCAGGCTCCTGCCTGGTTGCTGCTCCCTCCATCACTCCTGCAGCTGCTGGGATCGCTAGGCTTGCCCTTCCTCCTCTGGCTTCTGCTTCGCTCTGAGGGACAGAGCAGAGCCGGGGCAGCAGGAGGACACTGCATACACAGCAGGGAGACGTGGGCTGCCTCCCTGATGAGAGGGGCTGGTTTGCTTACACTACATGCATGGCCAAGGGGGAGGCTGCACTGCCCATGCAGTTGTGTGGGGTATATGTGGGGTGTGCAGCCCCCGAGGTCTGCAGCCTGCAGGGTATGTGCGTCCCCCTCCGCTTCTCCCACTGTCTAGAAGCTGGAGAGCCCTGGCCTCCTGCCACGATGCCTGCAAAACTGCTTGCTGCTGATGGCCTGGGACATGATGTGTTCTGACTGTTCTCCATCACTGTCCACCCTTTCTTTGCTCGCTTACCATCTTACCCCACCTGTTGTTGTACTTCTGCTCCCACCAAAGAACAAAATCACACACCCTGTCACTGGTAACAGTGGCAGGCCAGTTCTTTCTTCCATGCGCTTGCTTATTGGTTGTCAGCAGTAAGCCCTTGATTTGAGGATGATCTCTACCATGCATGGCTCATTGATGATCTCTACCTCAGCTTGTTATCAGTTGTATGCCATAAGCAGGAGAGGAGATGTTGGCAGGAGCCCCTGATGTGTGTGCGTGTGTGTTGCACTTGGGAAGCAGCAGCAACATTTCTCTGCCCCCTATCCTCCCTTGGCCTTGCGTATTGGAAACTATGTCCTCCGGGATTGTCTCTTTCCTGTGTACTGTGACCAGTCCCAATTGGGCTTCTCGGCTGCTGTCATATGAAGGTGCACCACTTCCACTTCCACTGCCATTACCACCACAACCTTATTGGCTTGACAGAGTTAAAAATTCATGAGTTAAACATTCATAGTCTTTGTGGGCATGCTAAATAGTTTCCTGGGAAGAACTGTAGGTTTTCTTGTGTTTGATTGTTAAGTCAGATAATGGCTTTCTCTTTCCTCTCTAGAAACCTATAAAATCCTTTTAATGCTTATTGGATGTAAAAAATGTTCCTCTTTTTTCTTTCTTCTTTTTTCCTCTTGAGGGATCTCAAATGGTAATAGCCCTTACCTTGGTTTTGGCCCCTCCATTTGCTGGAAATATACAAGGATTTCTGGAAACAGATCTGGATTCCTGGCCTTTTTAAACAAAATTTGAAATGACTCTAGGCCAAAAGCCTGCCATTACTCCTGCATCTCAGCCTTTTCCTTTCAGGGAGATGGCCCTGATGTGAGAATGGGTTATGGGAACAGCACTGGTAAAAATAAAAGCATGACTCACTGCTTTGTTCACATTTCTGTATGTCTACACAGGATCTGTCTGTCACTTTAACACTGAAATTAGTCATTCTCCATTGGTCTTTTCAATAAATATCCTCTGTCCTTTAACAGCTGCCAGCTTTGGGTGGGAGTAGAGTTGCTGTAGCTTGTTTGAATCCAAGGTAACCTGCAAAAGCCAAATGGTCATTAAGCGATTCTATGAAGAGACCAGAGCAGTACATGCTTGTTCTGGCTACCAGTGGAGGCTTGGTGCCCTCTGCTGTTTTAATTATAAATACTGGAAATGCCAGCATGGATTTAAAGCAGATTTTGGCATTCTGGGTATTCCATGTTATATTTTCTTTGGTCTTTAAACACTCTGCCCTTTCTTGTCCTAGTCCCTGGAGGAAGTGTGCGACCTGCTGCATGCTGCACCATTTCAGAACATACTGCCAAGGATTCATGTCAAAGGTACAGGGGTGGTGACCTGTTTTCTGTCAGCATTTATTTCTCCCTGTGTTGTGCCTTAACTGGTGAATGAATTGTTCTGAAACTTCCTTCATGGTAGTGCTGTGTCTGCGTAACAATGACAGCAAACTCCAATGTTTGCAGGCTTGAAAAACATGCAGAGCAATGAATAAGAGGCAGCTAGGCCTACTAATCATCTGTAGGTGCCCACTGCAAATGATGTCAGGAGTGAGCAAATGCAGAGGCAACACAATGAGATACCCAGTGCTGCTTCATTCCCAGTGGCAGACATAACTGGAGGTTGCTTGTCTCCCATTGGGTTCCACCTTTCACAGCAGCCCTGATTTTGCAAGTTTACCAAATCTGTTTGGGGCTGGGACACTTAGAGAACAATATTCCTAATCTGACTTTGGCCCCCAGTGATCCCCACAGCTTTTTGCATGCTTAAAGCTAGATGGGGATCATGGTGGTGACCGCTTGCTGAATTGTTTCTTCCGTTTCACCACCACTTTCTTCTATAATTGCTTATTTTTTTTGGTCTTCCTCTTTCCTTGTCCTTTTGCTGCTGCCAGCAGCACTGATTTGTCTGGGCCTCTGCCCATAGGGTTCCCATCAGTTACAAGGTGAAATGTACGTTTTTTTAGGTGCGCTGCAGCTGCTTGGTTCCCTGTAAGCTGCCATAAAACTAACCAGATTGCTGCAAATGTTACGCACCCACTCGCCAGAGAACATTTCCTACTCCCCAGTGGTGAGTGGGCGAATACTGCTTTTTTTAAGCCTTGCTATACATAAAATTCCACCTTCATTATAATTCCAGCCTCTGGAGGAAGTGGTCTATCTATGATAAGCATGCTTTTAATTGGCTAACTACGTGTGGAAACCAGTGTTGGAGACGGCATACTAGAGTCTTATTCTGAAGGTGGAATCTAGTTACTGTACTAACTAAATGTATCTCACCACTGGCTTGTGGCCATGCAGTTACCTTAAATTTGGAGGTACAGAATAGCATTGTTAATACGGTACACCTGTGTATCAAATAACAGCTTACTGAAGAAAAAGTAAGCTATTCTGAATTAGATCCCCTCTGAAAGGAACAGCTGTACAAAGATTTCCCTTCTGTGACAAAAGCAAACTCTAATAAGGATAACTGATTTCTGCACCACAATTTTTGTTGTTTTATAGTACACTTCCCGGTTAGAAGAAGTAAAGTCTTGTTTGGTTTTGTTTGCTTTTTTTGCCTTTTAGAGGGTGAAAGACTTGATGCTAAAATGAAGAGACTAGAATCAAAATATGCTCCACTCCACCTTGTTCCTCTGATTGAAAGACTAGGAACACCACAGGTAATGATCCCAGAACCTAAGAAACATAAGATCCTCACAAAGGTCATAGCTGTGTTAGGGGCCTCTAATAAATAAAGATGGCCTATGGTTTCCTTGTCCAATTATCTTATTGTTGAAATGAGGTGGGAAAGGGGATGCTTCAAGTTTTGGGGGAGGACTGTGGTGTTGACGTCTGCCTGTGCCTTCTTGTGTGCTGTAATGGCTAAAGCAGAGCATCTGTACCCCAAGGGTTCCTAGCTTAAATTCTGCCAAAAGCAATTGACTGTCCTGTCTGACATTTTAACAAAAATAATTTCTCTTATGTATCAATGAACACATTGGATAACGTTAGACCCTCTTTGAAAACCAGCTATTACATTTGATCTGAGCCTCCTTGAAAAGATAAAAAAGAGAGTGTGCTTCCTTTTCTAAGCCCATTACTGAGCCACTATTGCAGTGTCAGACACTCCTCACTCATCCTAGCGTGCGTTTCATTCCTTGTTAACTTCATCAGTTGACAGCCAGTTCAACTGAATATGGGGGACTGGCACCGGCATGGTCAAATGTAAAGTAAATAAGGTTTGCTGAGCTCCAGGAGGCAGCTGATAATGTGGGACTTTAGATGGTTACTATGAATCTCAGTTGCTTGCTTTGGTATGGATCCATTAGTGCTGACTTGAAAGCTTATCAGCCTCTAATGCCAGCACTCTTAAAAGTGAAAGCAGGGACCATCACTTGTGCCAGCCAGCTGAAAACCGAACACTCCAACTCTGTTGTCTGACTCGAATTCAGCCCCCCCAAAAAGAAACCTACAGAGCTAAGGATAGGTCCAGGGTCAGCGCAGCCCAGAAGTGGCCAGCCTTTCTACTCAAATAGCCTTTTAAAGGTGCTCCTGATCTGAGGGTGAGGGGAAAATATTCCATTGTTAGTGGTTTTTGACTTGTCTTTGCTTTGAACCAAGGAGAATTCATTTCCTTACGTGAAAGAAACAAAGCCAAAAAGCATTACTTAAACCAGAAATGTTTCATCTGCTGACCAGACTAGCAAGACTACTTCATGTTTGAGTAACGTGCTGTACACCTTCCTGTCTGCCCCAAGGTACAGCACAGTCTGGGAGCTGGGACATATGGTAAATTCTTAGAGCGCTTTTCCTCCATCCATTTATTAAATCAGGTTGCCACCCCCATAGAGCTCCATTCTGGACTAGTAGAAAGCCTCCAAACAGAAACGGACAAGGTTCTTTGGGTAAATCCAATCCCTTTTATTAGACCAACTCAAATAGTTGGAAAAATTGTTCTTTGCAAACTTTTGGGTACAAACACCCTTCTTCGGGCTGAGGAAGTGTCTGCAGTTGGTCTGTGCCCTTCCTGGGTGGAATAGTAAAGAATCCAGAGGCCAGTATAGAAAGCCAGCCACTGAAAGTGTAAACTGAGGTAGTCAGCAGGTGAGAGACAGGTAGGGGTTGCCAAACAGAAACCATGCTCGCCCTACACCCAACGAAATCTCTGTTTTAGTCTATTAACTCTGTTTCAGTCTATTAACTCTGTTTCTTTTCAATTTTAGCAAATTGCAATAGCCAGGGAAGGAGACTTGCTGACCAAGGAACGTCTGTGCTGCGGTCTATCAATGTTTGAGGTCATCTTAACTAGGATTCGGTCCTTCCTGGATGACCCAATCTGGTGTGGGCCCCTGCCCAGCAATGGAGTAATGCACGTGGATGAGTGTGTGGAATTTCACCGTCTCTGGAGCGCGATGCAGTTTGTGTACTGTATTCCTGTGGGAACGCACGAGTTCACTGTGGAGTACGTATCACTATCTGCTAATTGTGCACCTGTTCAAAGTACTTTAATTTGTATCTCTGCAAATGAACAGGGATGCAAAACATAACGGTGGCATTTGCTCATTTATTTTAGAGAGCAAGAGAAAGCACTGCTTGTCCTGGGAAGGGCTATTAACAGACAAACACCAATTATTTGTTAACCATCTATTTCACATACTTCCAGCATATAATGAATGGCCCCATAGCAGAGAAGTCCTAGCACACATCTGGCAATGCCAGTTTTGCTAATCACTACAGGTACAGAGCTCAGAAATAACTGGGTGCTAAGACAAATAGCTGTAACAAGTATTTACTTTACAGCCTGTAGATTATAGAAACAGGAACTAGCATTTAGCAGCTAGTGCCCTGTAGACTTCAGTTCTCCAGTTTTTAGATTTTTTTTACCTGTGGTATGTTGTTGTGTTGTGTTATGTCTTGTGTTGTGTCAGGGTTGACCATAGTTTTACTAAGAGGTTAGATTGGGGTGGGCAAGATGCGGCCTGCCAGGAGATTCTATCTGGCTGGGGGGCCCCTAAAAAATTTAGAAAATTAATATTAATCTGCCCCTAACTGCCTGTCACGCAGCCCTCGATGGCTTGCCAAAACTCAGTAAGTGGCCCTCAGCCTGAAATAACTGCCTGCCCCTGGGTTAGATTATGGATTTTTATATGATGGTTTGGATAGGGATGATCCTGCCTCAGGCAGGCGGTTGGATTAGATTACCTGTGAAGGTCCCTTCAAGCCCTACTTCTGTATGATCTGGAGCTGTCATTTGCCTATCACTGGCTAATATGTGTTAAGGGAGAAGACTTAGGAGGCTTGCAACCTTTGCTCTGTTAAGGGCCAAATTAAAGTGCTTGTGTGGCACTGGTTAATGTGAAAGCCATGGTGCCAATGTGTCATGGTGAACAAACATTTTAGGAATCACTTAACTATAGTATTTCAGCATCCACCTGTCTTTTCTGCTTGTTGCTAATGGCACAGAGAATGACTGAATGTTGTGGGGCTTAAACCTCAGCCTGGAAAATGTTTTAGGTAGGGTTGTACCCTGGGTATGTTTTGTTACCTTACAAAAAGAAAAGTTTGGCTGTTTAACTTTTCCAGAGTCTTAGATGAAATTTCTCTAACTTTCCTGGCCCTTGTACTATTACAGACAGTGCTTTGGAGATGGATTGCACTGGGCTGGATGTATGATCATTGTGCTTTTGGGACAGCAGCGTCGCTTTGATGTGCTGGATTTCTGCTACCACTTACTGAAAGTACAAAAGCATGACGGCAAAGATGAGGTCATCAAGAATGTGGTAGGTTGAAGGCACCCGTTACTCACAGCAAGGAAAGGAAAAATCAGTCATTTGTACTAAGCTTGCTACAGCTGTAACCACTATTTTTTAGACTAACATGTTCAGAATTGAATCCACCTTCTTTTCAGAAGTACCAGTGCCCTTTGCTAAGGGTTAAGGTTCTAGCTCAGTTTAGAATCAAATGCAGAAATTGGTCATTTCATCTGTGTGCTATAGGTTGAAGCAAAATAAGGCTTTCCAGGCCGTTTTGAGAAGCAGAGTGCATCTTTAAAAGCAAAAATGCCAGTTGATCTGATTGAGCCCAACCAGAAAAACTCATGGCTTTTTGTCAAAAACTGTTCAAGGATTTGTATCTCAGAAATTCATTCTTGAATGTGCTTGATGTTACAGCCTCTGAAGAAAATGGTTGAGAGAATCCGCAAGTTCCAGATCCTGAATGATGAGATAATTGCTATTTTGGACAAGTATTTGAAGTCTGGTGATGGAGAGAGTACACCAGTGGAACATGTGCGTTGTTTCCAGCCACCTATTCATCAGTCCCTGGCCAGTAACTAAGTGTGGATAGACCATCCTGCTTCTTATGTTAGCTACCATACTTTTGCACCTAGTTAAGTTATAAGTTTAAAAGAAAAATGGTTTTAAGGAGCATCTTCATCTGCAGTAAGGCCTGTGCTATTTGAATGGCCAGTGCTTTTCCTCTTTAAGTCTCCAAGCACAATAACTGTATACAATCATACTTATTTTTCTAGACTAAAATTTTATACTTTGATAAAGGATCTGCAAATGAAAAAAGGCTTGTCTGACAGAACTCTTTGCATCCTCTCATTTGATGCAAATTTTTTCCTCAGCTGTCCCCATATTTAGCTATGGAGGGTGAAAAATCCATGGGTTTTATTAGAAACATTTATAATTGTGTATTTTAGAAAAGCATTAATTGCTTGGTTAGCCTTTATAAACTGAGGTTCCTGCTGATGTTTTGTGAATATTTTTAATCAGTTGATTTCTTTTGGCAGAACTAAACAACCCCATATAATCAGTAATTATGGAAATAAAGGCTAATTAAGCCATCCTTTTTAAACAGTAATTCTCTAACATGGAGGTGGCTGATAATACTCTGCTTAAAAAAATAGTAATTCACATTATAGAAAATTTGGGTCTGTTCATCATATATCAAGTTTTTGTTAAGAAGAGCAATTTTCTGAGAGATGCTTAAGAATCAAAACAACATGTTGTTTCCATGCTGGTGCTAGGGAATTCCTGTTTTAAAAGATGCTTCTATACACTGAACCTATCTCAACTCAATACATGAGCTGTAATGAAACTAAATTGCAACTTACAGAGAATATTTAAGTTTTGTTATACCTTTGTATTTTTGTGAAACATGCCTCAGTAAAATAGTTTGTAAAATGTGGCAGCTGTCTTATCTGGATTTTAAAGCAATACATTCTAAGCCCAACTGGCAGTTTCTAGTACAGTGCAAGTAAAAGCCTTTTTGCCCTCTGACTGATGAGTTTAACAGAGGACTTTTCTGGTGGGACTGTGGATGCTAGTTGGTTCTTAGCATACTATAATCAGCAGATAAGTGTGCGCTTTAGAGTATAGATGTAGAAAGATGGCATTTAAACCACTGAGGAAATTATTCCCTTTCACATAAGACTCATCTCCACCTTCCCTGCTCTTCACTGGTTCCCAGCCTTTGAGGAGAGTTAGGATTTCACCCCATAAATGGGTAAAAAGATCAGTTCTAGAAAGGTATGTGTAGGAGAGTCTTATTTTCTGCTACTTTTCCTCCTTTGGAAAGGGGGAGCAGTAAGGAAGAGCTGTGGGTGAAGAAGTAGCAGTTATCTATTTTGACAGAGATACTTAGTAGGAGTTAATGTCAACTTTGTGCAGATCAGCCCTTGTCTTGCCAAAATACCAAAATAAAAGGGTGTGACTTATGTACAGACATAATTAAATTGGATTTAAGATGTATTCTGATGGCTGAGGCATAGGTTGAGGTTCCAGTTTCCTGACTAGAAGCAGGGAGCACCTTAAGTACAGTGTCTCCTTGATTTGCCAGCTTTATCTTCACTGTATGCAGAAAAACAAGTTAGAAAGAAGACAGTTTTATGGTCTTTAAGTTGTTTTGCAACAGCTGCTCCTTTGCATGCTCTTACCCATCTTACAGGTTGTGGGGTAGTTAGCTGCTGTAGGTTCACTCACATGTGGTTACCAGGCAGTAGCTCACTGGTTCTCAATTGGAATACCTCAAGGCCCCTTTCAAAGGGTTACCTAATGTAGGCAGAGGTGCCTGCTTCTATGGCCACCACCTCCCAGTCTGTCTTCTCACATGCCTCCTGGGGGCAAGGCAGCTCTACCTAGCTTCAGCAGCACCCTTGAAAGACATGTTTCATGCCTTTTGTCAGGTAAATTGCATTCTGAGGCTATAATTAATCTATTTGAGTGTGAATATAAAGAGAGAAACAATTAAAGTTAGGTGACCACATTGATACAAGATCAAGTGTTTAAAAAAAAAAAAGTGTCATAAGTTGTGAGACCACAACAGTGGTTCTCAACTAGGATGCACTAAATCCATACAAGTTACTGAGGAGCGCTTTGTTCGAAAAAGTTGAGAACCACTGAAGTAGTTAACACACTGAAATGCTACCCTTTTACCAAGCAGCATCTTGTTTGTGCATCAACATAACACAGATTCATTCCTGCAGGACTGGTGTTCCTCCAAGCAGTAGCATAGCATCTGATGAAACTGATCTCTTGGTTACAAAAGCTTATGCATCTCTGACTCAGTCAGTCTATAAGATGCATCTTTACTCTGACTTCAGACTAACATTGCTAACTAGCTCTTTGTTAGGATTACATAAGTACTCTTTATACTCTTGCAAGCTTTTTCACCTCCAACAGCTCCACTGTGGCAATCAGAATTTGAGGAGGTGTGTGACCAGAAACTGAACAAATTAAATTAATTCCCTTGTGTGTACTACTACAGATCTTACTGGGGCAAAACAACACACCAACCCACTATAGTTATGTTCAGGGATCCTGGTTTTCTCCGATTAAAAAAAAAATCACGAATTCTTTGATTAAAAATTTCCAAAGCTGTTATTAAAATTAAAAGCCCCCTGCAGCCCCCCTAGCCCTGTTGGTGCCCCTCACTTGGCCCCAAAGCCATGCCAACCATGCTGATGCCCCTCACTGCCCCTGGCTTTGCTGGAGGGGGGCCCCAGCTGCCAGGGCTATGGGGTCAGGGCCTCAAGTCTACAGCTCCGTGTCCCCAACAGCAGGCAGCTGCAGCAGAAGCAGCATGGAGCTGGCTCTCCCACAGCTGCTGCATGTTCATGTGGGGGTAGGGCTAGCTCCTGGCTCCCCCCAGCCCTGCCAGTACCTCCAGCCATGACCTGCAACCCCCCAGCCCCCTGCAAGCTCCACTTACCTCAAGCTCCAGGAGCAAAGAGTGATGCTGAACTGAGAGCCTCAGGCCCCACCCTTTCCCCTCCCCCTTCGGCAGGGCTGGGGGGTTCCTGCCTTGTTTGCAAACAGCTCTTACAGGCTGCAGAGCTCTTTGCAAAAGTAGGGAATCCCCAGCTTTCTCAGCTAAAAAGGGAAATCTGCAGTTTTCTGTTTTTCCTTGGGAAACGGAAAATCAGGTTCCCTGACTTGTCGTATACTGATTTTTTTATTAGGAAAAAGTATTTTGAAATGCTAAGTGTAATGTGGATAAAACAAGTCCTTATTCCTACCCATTAGCTTGGCATAGCAAATCCTAGAGACAACCATGCGGTTTACGTCAGTTATGTTAAAATCAGAGCCTGTCTTATTCAAACAAGGATTCAGCAAATCTAAAAAGATCACTTTGCCTCCTGCCCCCTCCCTGAGAGAGAGAGGATTTCAAACCATGTGAAAAAGAAGCTGATAGTTCCTTAAAACCTCTAAATTCCCTTTACAAAAGTTTCATTCATAGTTTTAAGTGCTTCTGTTCCTTTTTATCTTGAATTCTCCCTAGGATTCCTATCTTTATTTTCTCTTGCATGGGAGTTTTATTTGTACTACTTTACACCTGGAAAGAGAGTTCTTATTAAAAAGCACACGGCAAAAGTAAGACTAGAGCCAATGCCCTCAAGAATGAATAGAAGAAAATGAACTATACATAGGACCTGACCTATTCAGTCATTTATCTAAATTGGTAAAGGTGTTGTCATCTAATAGACAATGTCTTTGACCCTGTTCATTGTGGCTAACACTGCCTATAAGTTATTGCATGAAAGGGTGATCCTACAGTGCCCCTGCCAAAGAACTAATCAGCTGGGAAATGGGATGTGCAAGTCACTTAAGTGGCATCAGAGGTGTTGATTAACCATGAAGTATACAGGTTTCCCTCACTTTATACTGTACATGCATTCCTGGAAAGTGGCACATAACTCTAATTCACATAAAGGGAACCAGCTTTACAATGTAACAAACATCCAAGACCTCAACTGTACTGACCCCCAAACCTATTTCTACAAGACAATTTAGGTATTCACCAACAGCAGACAGTACACACAAGCACAGGGTGGTGGTATATGTTTAGCTGGTGTGAAGAGTAGGTGATGATGGACCAGGGAGAGGAGTAGGAGATATGGCTTCTAAGCATCCCACTAGCTTAATGGGGTTGGCAACTAGAGAAACGCATCACAGACAATGAGTGAGGAGCGCAGATCCACACCAGAGACTAGATTTTGGTGCATGTCGCCACCACAATGCACCATACAAAGCAGCTGACTGCGGGCTTCCACCACACCAGGTCACAAAAGTGAATTTACCTTGCATATGAGTTTGTGGTATAAGAAGGGTCACTGCATAATAACAAAATCGCACATACAGAACCTGCATAAAGCAAGGGAAACCTTTATTACACTCACCTAGGTCACAGGCAATGTGAGGCTTCATTAGTGTTTTGCACTTCTTTAGCATCTTTCACCAGATGATGTAAGAGTGAGCAAGGAAGAAAGCGCATACATTCCCCCCCGTCATCTGGTAAAAGATGCTAAAGAAGTGCAAAACAATAAAGCACTTTTAGTAATTAAGTGTGCATAGGAACCCACCACAATATGTACTATAAGCACTATTATAATTAAAAGGAACAAACAAACAAGTAAACTTTAATAGGAAGGTACCCTGTCTGACAACCAAAATAGGCTGGTAGTTCAGCCTATTTTGATAGGAACCACTTGATATGAACCACTTCACCCTAGCTATGAATTACAGGTGAATACATGGAAAGGACACAGCAGCAGCATGTATTCTTTTGATCACTAAACTAGAACTGCTCCCAGGTAAGTCCATGGTCAAAGTGCATTTGGGTGGACACAGTTAATGGTTTAAACCATTAATTCAGCTGAAAAATATGTTCTTATTTTAGATGAGTCATACATTTCAGCCTGAATACAACTGGTACAGAGTTTCTTTTGCATTAGCACTTTCAATATTGATCTGATCACCAGAAGATCACTAACAAAACAAGATGAACAGCTGTTTGCAGTGGATTACTACAGTTCAGTTACTGGTGATGACTTCCAGGTTCAGAACAAGCTCAAAACAAAGTTACTTGTCAGTTTTCATAGTTCCTTCTACTCACTAGTATTTTGCACTTTGTTTTTATAAGTGATTCTGAAATTTGTTCACCACTTGGTTTGTTCTCTTCCTAACAAGAAAAGTATTCTCTTAACAGGAAGTTAAATGAGACTATTGCTACTAAGGGGACAAAAATTTCAGTGGGAAGATGCTACATTCCACCCCAGAGTTAAAAGCTGTAGCATACCTTTGCAAACATTCATTCTACAGTATCTTACTGAAATCAAGCAGTGATGAGAGAGAGGACTTTACATTTTTGTAGTCAGCCCAGGCTCTTCTCACTTGAGCAACACTGCAGAGCTATGCTGACAGATGGAGTTGTCTGTCAGCACAAGGGGTTTCTGGCAATTTAACTGTATCCCCATTCCAAATGACAATCCTGCTTCTGCTGCCTCTGCATTCAAAGGTTAGCCATAATTAAGCCAACAACTTAAGATATTTTTTTTCTTTTCCTCTGATACATGGTTGACTGGGGGTGGAGGCAAGGTGTGCAAGCAACTGCATTTGGATAATGCTATGCCTGAGGATGGTTCCTAGCTCCTCTCTCTCTCTCTCCATTGTTTTAAAAAACTGAAAACAAATTAAACCTTGAAGTCTTGCCTACTTCAGGAATAGTTCTGTTTGACAAGTCTAAAAAAGCAAAACCAAACCAAACCAAAAAGCTTTAAACAAACATAAATCCAAATCTGCAGTGCAGGATGCCTGTATTCCAAGTTTACCAATGCACTGCCTAAGAATGGAAGTCATCAGCGTAGGTTTTGTTTCCAGTAAGTGAAGGCAAATGGCATAATCACTTCTTTGCTTTCAGCGCATTGTGCTGGCACTCCTGGCAAGTAGTTTACATCTCAAGACGACAGCCTGGCTGCTCATTTTGTAAAAGATGCAAAAGATTCAGGTTCATGTCAGTCTGTTTACCACCAATGCAGAAATAAAGCAATTTATTTTTGATATATTTAAAATAATCATTAGTGCAATAAGTCTTTAAAATGGAAAATTCAAATGAAAAATATTTACAAGTTCACACCGATAAGTTAAAAGCAACAAAGAACAAGAGACTGAGGTCATTTTAATGTATGTAAAATAAAAATAAGGCAAAAGTAAATTCCACCACTCTGGGTCCAAACTAACCAAACCTAAAAATTAAACGATTGTCTATATATATATATCTGTTAAGAAGTACACCTTGTTTCCAGACAAGCTCTTAAACTCAGACATTTCACAGCTAAAGAAAAGGAAAGGAAAAAAAAAAGTTACAGAATTGTTCTTTTCTTAATTGACATTTACCTATTCTCAGAATGCTGATAAGTTTCCATTTCTCCTGGAAGACACATTTTCACTGGATTGTATTTCACTTACACAGGTTGAGCTTTCTTCATCATGATTAAAGCGTTCATAAGTGTTTGGCAAAGTGCCATTCACTGCTCTCTCATCTTTCCGTAAGGAGACAGGCAGATTTGCTAGAGTAAAACTGACATCTTTAAAGGCATGCAATAAAAAGATCCCCACAATTATAGTGAGGAAGCCACTGAAAGTGCCAATAATGTCATCAGCAGCCATATGTTGCCACTCCTTAAAAAGGATAGCAGAGCAAGTTAGAACAGATGTTGTAAAGAATACATAATATATTGGAGTCACTATGGAAGTGTTGAATATATCCAGAGCCCTATTTAAATAGTTGATTTGTGTGCTCACACAAACTATGAGGCCTAGCAGCAGAATCCAGGACAAAGGATGTTTCAGCACTGGCTTTCCTGCAAAAAGTTCCTTGATGGCAATGCCCAAGCCTTTTACACAGGAGACTGACAATGCTCCAATTACAGAACAGATTGTTATGTACACAAGAATGTTGGTCTGTCCATGGCGAGGTCCTACCACAAATATTAATATTAGGGACACAATGACGACAAGTGTTGCAAAGACCACAAAACCTGCAGGGGGAAGGGAGAAATAGCGGGGAAGAGAGAGAAAAAAAAAAAAGAAGTGTCATTTGCTTTTATATACTAGCAAGATCATTGTATAGGTACCAAGAAATAGACCACATTTTAATGGAGGTAAGAGGAGTCAAAGGCTAGCAAACTCTGTCATTACAGCATTACACCTCCAACTTATGTCTTGGTTTTTGGGGGTTTTTTTCCTATCATTCCTCCAAAGAGAGAGGCTGGAGCAAGTCTAAGGCTGGGAATAGACAACGCTTCCTGCTGGGGCTGTTGTCCCACAGGGTCACACTCCAGCTGCTCTCCCAGGGATTCAGGGGCCTGATCAATCACACAGGAAAATGGCCCACCCCTTGTAGCTGCTGCCCCAGTGTCCAGGCTTGCACCTGCAAGCTTAGGGAGGGGAACATTCCTCTGGATATTTCCTGCTTCCATGCTTGCAGAGGCATGCTCTGGGAATTCCTCTGCAAGGGACTCCCCCACCACAAGTGTGTTACTCCCCTGCTTGAACTTGGGGCATGCATCTGCAAACAGGGAACCTCTGCTTGCAGACAGGAGCCCTATGTCAGGTGAAGCACCCAGGGCCCTTGTCTTGCAGGATCAGGCCCTTGAAGCCTCAAGAGCTCCTGCTCATTGCTGCCTACATTTTTCTGCCATAGGTGAAAAAATGTGAGCTGCAAAAAGGTTGTCATGTGACAAAGGGCTAACATCTCTGTTCACTTGGGTTTTGTGCTGCCATAAACAGTTTATGGAAGCACAGTCTGTGTCTATTTGCAGCCTTAATGATAACAGCAATGGAGCTGGCAAAACTAAAAACCACAATGTGAGATTCTAGGCAGACAAGCTCCATCACTTCTTCCTTCCAAACCAGCACCTGAAATGGATACAGTGTTAGACTACCAGGCCAGAAGATTCAGGGGTGCCTGTACACTGTTTATCGTTTTGTTTCTACAGAGGTGTTACTTCTGAGAGCAACCCTCTCAGAGAAGCCAATAAGTCACCTTGCTGAGTGGCCCCCAACCTAGTTCTTCAATTCTGTGCCTCAGCTTCCATATCTGTAAAAAGGAGACTTCTACCTTCTTTGTAAAAAGCTTTATGCACAGTTGGAAAGACAAGTCTCTTATTACTATTATAGCCAACAATGCAATCGAGAGTGTACTCCAGAGCGTACATTTTCATTTTTAATGACTCAATAAAAAGGTTAACACTTTCAATCACACACCTCTTCAGTTAATTTTACTTTGTATTATAGGTTAGAAAAAGGGAAATGGCTAACTGCTAGTCACCAGACAAAATACATGTGAGACCTCTGTAGGTAGTCAGTCACCTATTTGGGCAAAACAAAGAAAACACTCCTAGCAAGCTGCAGATAGGGGAAGTCACAGAACTCAACCCCCTGACAATTTACAGATTTACAGAAGAGGTGTCTTGCTTGTGCTAGAAACCTGCAACAGTTGCAGTTATAAATGAATAAGCTGCTTAAGTATTAGTTAGTTACAGCTGAACTTGACAGTCTCTCACCTGGATCACCAAGTTTTTGGGACATTTCCTGCAAAGTTTCTACCTCCTCTTCTTGCGGAGCATGAATCACCATCACAGTTGATCCCAGTATACTTAGTAAACACCCAATCTTTCCATGGAGATTAAGTTTTTCATTTAAAAAGTAAGATGAAAGAATGGCACTGAAAGAAACACATACATACTGACAGATTAGGAATCAAACAATATTCCATTTATTTGCACAAGTTTGTAGCTGGCCACAAAAAGACAGAAGTATCACACATTGAAGAAACTAATGTTTAAGTATGCTTTTAAGTAAGAAGAGCTGACTTTCTTCGTGCTTAGAAAGCTGTGGGGAAGTAAGATCTGCTCTTCCAAGTTTGTCAACAAGGGGGAAAAAAAACTGACTATATAACAATGCCCCGTCTCACTATGCGGATAAAAGGTCTATAGCTCTCTTATCTGTCAGTACCCAGTAACATACAGCCTCTCACTATCTGCAACATTACTAATGCACACAAACTAAACCTACTAGTAAAACAAACTCAAAGTAACTGCAATCAGTCATCCATACAACCATGTCTACTATGCACTGAACCACTAGTAAACATCTGGAGGCCAAAGGGCTACTTTAAAGTTGTGCACTGCCTCCTCAGAATCACTGTGCTAAATGATCTCTAAAGCAGGGGTAGGCAACATTTTCTGGCCGGAGTGCCAAAAAAACCCAACAATGCCTACCTTGGAAGATGCCGGAGTGCTGGCATACCAGAAAAACAAAACGAGGGCAAGGGGTACATAGCAGGATGCCCTGCTTGTACCCCTGCCCCCCAGCCCTGCTGCCCCTTGCCCCTCATTCAAAGCCCCTGCCCCACAGTCCAGGTTCCGTGGCTATCAGCAGCTACCCGGAGCCTGGGCCAGCTACAGCCAGGAGGCTGCAAACAGCTGCTGCCTCCCCGCCCCAAACCCAGCCCTGGGCTCCGGGGAGGCAGTAGGTCCCAGCGATGCTCCTTGCTGTGCTGCCCTCGCCGTCGCTTCTGCAGAGCAGCATGTGGAACCCGGCGTAGCAAGACACAGAGGGGGGTGCAGAAAGCTGCCTGCCACTCTTGAGTTTCCCGCTGCCCTGGCCACACTTCCCCAGCAGGCGGGGGCAGCAGTGAGCAGCATAGACACAGGGGAAGTGTGACCCAGGCAGCACGGAGCTTGCAGCAGCAGGCAGCTTCCCTGTGCGACCCAGAGCGGCAGCGCACAGAGGGGCCACTTGCTTCTAAAAGCTCCGTGCTGCCCGGGTCACACTCCCCCTGTGTGCACAGGAGCAGTGTGGGCAGCACACAGGGTTGTGCCCCTCACTGCTGCTCCTGCCAGTAGGGGAAGTGGGGCCAGGGCAGCGGGGAGCT